AAGCCGTTGTATTGAGGACACAAGGAAGTATTTTCAAGCAGGAAATAAACTTAATCTGGATTTAATATAATTTATTATGTATGACACGAACACGCGTGTCACGTTGTTTTAAGTGTGGAAGAGCCCTGCTTCGGCATGAATTAGTTGGCTCGACTGGAGAGATACCACGGCCTCACAGAAAAATGGCGTGAAACAACCATAGCGTAAGTGATGTTACCGGACGCCTCAAATCGCGAATCCCTCCCCAATTCCTATATTTCCAAATCTCTAATTATCTAAAGGTCTGCTACGCACTCGTAACTCCTCTGATGGCCGTCCATGGGCGGCGCTGATTGCTTACCATCAGGTAATCAGTCTAATAGTTTGCCGACATATCATAAAAATAATTATGAATAGTTACGCAGAAGAGAACTTAAACAATGTTAGAGAACTCCCTTTTTTTCAACTGTTTTATGTCCTATGTTACTCACCTCTAGATGAGTCTATTCACATAGAGGCATTGAAAATACCATTTCAAAATGCTTCATAATCAGCTACAGGTTAATAAGCGCCCACTGCTGAGCAAAGGCGTCATCTAACACGGAGAAGGTTGGAAAATTAACCTCTCGTCTGCCGCTATGATATGAGACACGATAGACAAATCATTACCTCTTGCTTGAATCTTCGCTTCGCCATGGTAACATGAGTTAATCACCAAACGAGCTCAAGGCGGATTGGCGATTTGTAACATATAATTAAAAGTTATAAACCCAGGTTTCCTATCGACGACATCGAATCATCATAAACCTTAGAAAATGCATATAAAGTTTCAAGTACATTAGACAGGTTTCTAACCAACATACATGAGAAGCGGGTTCCTTATGCTATAGGTACTTACTGTAAATATTTTGAATATTTCCTCGACGCTTTTTTATACTGATTTAGTAATTAACACAGACACATTGGTTTTCTACGTCGAGTTATTTATTATTTGCCCTACACGGGCACGACTTATAAAGTACTGATGTTCAAATCAAAGGTCGATCTACAACCAAGCAACATGTCCGAACAGATAGATCGAAGATATGTGAACATCAGTTCAGTGTGGATTAAGTACAGTGAATACTTAGTTGCATAGTTTTTTTGTTTAATTATTAGCTTAGTTATATAAGTCTCAATAACCTTTCATTTTCAATGTCATGCACACCTGTAATTTGTACAATTGCTTGTGCATCCAATTATTTGATTATTGTGTTTTTTGTATAACATTGGGTGATTGTATTGTTGGTGTGCTTATTTTTAAATAAATAAATAAATAAATAAATATTGTGAGGAAAAAGGACATACAGTTTACAGTTTCTTTAAGGAAATAGTGAGTATAATTAATTTCTTATTTAATTATTATTATTAGTCATTGTCGTCCCACTGCAGGGTAAAGGCCTTCCTACCCTTCTTCCACTCCTCTCTACACAAAGCTTTCTGCGGCCAATCCTCGTCGAAAACATCAAGTTCGTTCCGCCATCTCCTTCTGGGCAAATTAATTTCTTATAATTTAACTAAAACAGTTACTTGCGATGGGTGTGTGGTTCTCAACTCTGTTTATCATTTCGATCGATGTCCTATTTTAAATTCAATATTTTTGATAGAAAGTCTCAGAGTCTTCTTCTTGATAAGGTTTTGCATAGCGAATCTAGTATCTAGTTAAGATTGAATCCTATTGATTTACACCAGTGTGGCGAAGTCAAGGTTTCAAAGAATAAGGTCTTTGTTGCCGATTCTTATTTTTAGTAATTTGATTTAATTTAATTTTGTGTTTTCGTGGTTCATGTTATTTTATTTGTATCCTTATCTTGTTTCACATTATTATTTATGTTGATATTTTTATTTAAATTTTAATGTATTCGTAATTTTCCTTAGTTTAATGTTTATGTTTACATACGGTAAGTGGTGTGTGTACATCTGTTAAGGATATATTAAGAAAATGTATTTTATGTATATTGTTGATGTACCTTATTGAATAAAAAGTGACGTACTTATTTAAACACGTCAGATATTTCCTTAGGAAGCATTTTCTGGGAATATAATCGTACAGGATCATATTATATAATATATTGTGCTTATAAAGAGTATTTGGTCAAACTTCGTCGTAGTTGTAACCACTAGACCGACGAGACGGTAACAATTGAACCTATTCGTCACTTTAAGGAAAAATAATTCGGATTAAGATTCTTGCCGTCTTTAATAGATTTACCTACGTAATTTAACCATAGTCTATGACAGTTGAGACTTGAGAAGTAAAAATCTTAAATTTCCTGTGCCTTCATGACGTCATGACAAACCATACTACGTATTATTAATTAAGTTCCATGGAAATACCTTAATTTAACATTAGCTGTGATATGGATAAGGAAAAATGACACGTTTGCGTCAAAATAAAATTGGCCTAAAGTCATCGCTCATTCAGTTAGTGGAAACCATTGAAGTGAAAGCACACTGGGTCTTAATATCCCATAATTTCGAATTACAAAATGTTTAGTAACTTTGTTTGTATTCATAAACGTTGTTTTAATTGTTTCATATTGGATATGGATAGTTAATTAAAGTTTAAGTTTTAATACATCAAACCCCAATTGTTCTTTTAGTTTGTATCTCTAACCTTTACCACGATCGAAAAGTTAAAGGGTGTTGTTGAATGAAATGGGTGAGTTTCATTTTTATTTTAACATCTATAGTAAAGAAAATGATTTCAATGTATTATTGCACAATTGACGCGGTGCCGGTGGCTGGGAAACGTGTTGCATTTTCGATTTTTTTGCAGTTCACAAATTGTTGTTTTGTGTACTTATGCTAAATTGGTATTTGCTCATGAAACAGGACAAAATCCTAGTGTGGGGTTATATTAATACTTTTTCGATGGCTGGCTTGGCGTGTGCGTGAAGTACCTACTAAAACAGAAAACCAGAGAACCAGCGCCAGCATTGTGTTTTGTATGTCGCCGTTACCAAAGACTTGCGAGGCTTCTCCCTGTCCCTCATTTCCAAATCCCTAACCCCAAAATACGGGTCCGATGTAGCGGATGACCATATCCGACAATTGCTTATCATCAGGACCCTACCACGTAACACACAGTTCCTCAACAATAATAGCAGCGGGAATGAAACTATTTAGCGAGTTTACTTCGACAATAGAGGGCGCCACACCGACGGGAACGAATAATTCATTTAGCTAGAATTAACTTAAGAAGTTAGTGAGTGAGTCGTCGTCTTAAAAAAACACAGTATATTATACTTAAACATACTGTATGACATGCACATGTTAAAATATATATGTTCCTTAAAATTAAAAAAACCTTCATTATACTAATAAAAGCAGTACAAGCCTCTACTGTGCTCGTTAAGCCGACGCAGGCCATTTAAGTATCTCTGTGGGCCTTGATTGGCCTTAAACAGACAGATCTGTGTTGTCTCTTTATACCGGATCCGTTAATGGTGTGAAATTTTTAATGCGAAAATCATTTCAGAGCCGACTAAATGATGTAACAAAGAAATGAATTGTAAAACTGATTGAAAAATAGTTAAGTACCATGGAGTGTCTTGCTCGTTCTTCTCCATAGGAGTTCTACACTTGGAATGTGCAAATAGCTTCACTAGAGGACAGACGGACAGACTGACACGCGTAAAGTTAAACCGCTTGAAATTTTTTTTTTCTTTTTTTTTCGTTGTCGTTCAAAAGTGCCTACTGTCATTAATTATCAAAAGTCAAAATCATTTTTTTTTTATTTTTTTTTTTTTATGTAATAGGTCGGCAAACGAGCAGACGGATTACCTGATGGTAAGCAATCAGCGCCGCCCATGGACACTCGCAACGGTGGAGTTACGAGTGCGTTGCCGACCTTTCAGGGATTAGGGATTTGGAGATATAGGGATTGAGGAGGGATTGGGGAAGGGGAAGGATTGGGCCTCCGGTAACCTCACTCACACGGCGAAACACAACGCAGTGGTTATTTCACGCCGGTTTTCTGTGAGGCCGTGGTATCACTCCGGTCGAGCCGACCCATTCCTGCCGAAGCATGGCTCTCCCACACTTAATCATTTATTTCAAATAGTCTATTTAAAATAAATGATTTTGACTTTTGATTTAGGAATTATTAGGTGTTATTAGGTGTAACCTAACCTATGTATTTTTATAACAATATAATATATTAATGATTTAGTTTACTAACAATCCATAGTCCATCCTTTATTGAAATGCTGGAAACGATAATGTTTTATGAATTTTGTTTGAGATCTCAAAATGTTTTTACCGGATATGCGTTATATACCAACATGAAACTTCTAAAAAATAACTATAATTACGTACGATAATGATTCATTGCATTGAAAAGTAAAAATTCACTCATTTATTTTAAACTATAGCAAACTACTTAATTCGAAATAACTAACTATTATGTATTTATAATATTTCATTCTCATCCAGTAAAAAGTTTGAACTCAGAATTTTTGGGAAAATTTTAACTTAGGTAGTAATTTTTACCGTCACATAAAAATTTCAATAACAAAAATTATGATTCACATAGCTGGCTGCGTACTTACACAGCAATGTGTACAATTTCAGCATTACCCTTGAGATTCCCATCACTGTGAAATTCATTCCGCGGCCGAAAATAAGATTTTTGTTGTCGTTCAAAAATAACGTGACCGAGATTCGAAACTCCCGCGACGTTGACACAGAATTAATACAGAAACGACCAATAAAAAAATATTATTCCAACATGGCGCATTTTTTAAATTCAAAATAAGTTTCTTGTCTATCATGAGGAATGTTTCTTTGTAAATTATGTTGTTGTTAACTGCACCGAGGCGCGAAAACAAGCGTAACTGTGGTGACAAAAATAACCATTCATTGAAATAGACGCGTGAAACAACTGTTTGCAGTCGCAAAAACCATTACTACCAAAACTCTTCTAAAATAAACTATTAAAACGGCGCAGTACAAGAAATTGTTAAAAAAAAGTAACTTACCAAAAATATTCCATTGAAGACCACCAGCAAATATTTAATACAGTTCATCCCGCAGCCCTCCATCTTGATTTTTATTCTTTTTAATTTCAAAATTAACACAGATTATCACAAAAGTCTTAATCTCGAATTCAAATCCGACAAAAAATCAACGACAATCGAAATCAACAGAGCGGCAGTTCCGAGTTTGAAATTCAACTTTTTTTAATAGCGACACAGTCGTTCGCTCGCGTCCGGCCTCGCTGGCTGAATGCGACAAGGCTCGACCCGTTTTGTATTTTAGTAGCCCAAGACTTGGGTGGTGTGAAGGGATGTAGTCACGCATTAGCACCACCCCCAAATTTCTTCGACCCTTATTTCGACGTTGTTAAGCACTGATAGAGATCAATTTTAATCGGTTGAAACTAGCGATCGGTTATTGGTCTTAAGTCTAAGATTATTTAGAGGTTAGTTACCTACAAGAATTCGTTTTTATAGCAGACTAGCGTATGATTGATTGCGATAAGAAATTGTAGGTAGGAAAATAAAGAAATGTGTAATTATGAGAAATATTTAACGAACAGTAGATTGGTTTTAGAACAATTCAAGCTTCAACTTTTATTTATTTATTTATTTATTTAAACTTTATGCAACAAAACATTACATAGGCCGACTTAATGCCGTAGGCATTCTCACCAGTCAACCTTAGGGTGATGCAGAGAGAGTATGGTAGGTGCAACAAGAAGAGAACTTTGAGAAGATAAATTTAAGATTTTTTTTAAGATTTTTATAAAGTTTAGGAATGTGTCCTTCTCTCTTCTTGTCCGAAAATTTGTACGATTTCCTTTTCAAAAAGGAAGCATCAACTATAAGATGTCCCAAACCCAATTAATAGCTGAGAAAAAATAAATGTCAAGATAATTTATAGTTCCTTTGTACCTTCTCCTCCTAAAGCTTGGTGATGTTCTCAGCGGTGGTGCCAGGCTTAAAATTATATAATAATTATGATTTATTTGCATATTTCGCTGCACAACTTACTACATATTAGATTTTTGTACCTACTTGCAAAACATATTTTAATGCGGTATTTTTAATAGACATGGTGATTCGAAACAAAGTTATTGTGCGTAAAATCTAAGTATACATAATACAAACTTAGAGGAACGCTAGCTAATTCTTTAGTGGAGGGCAAAATAAAAACAAAAGGTAGCGTTTTTTAAAGAAAATCAAGTTGCACTGTTTAATTACACGATTAATGCGGTGGCGGGGTTACCGGCTGCCGTGCAATGTCGCGGATTCCATTTTCGAATGGACATCTCAAAAATAATTTAATTCGACGTTTCAATACAATAAAATATTGAAAAATAACTATACTTTTATTCATCAATCGATCGATACACTAAATTTTAGTTATTCATTAACTAATTATTCAGAGATAAGTAAGCTATTTGACGCAAAATACTATGACGTCATAACTCAGTTTTTTATACTAATTTCATAGAAAAGTATAATTTTTGAATTTTAGATTAAAGTACGAGTATAGTTGTTCCAGATCAGAGTGTGATGAGTGTCTGAAATTATGGGTTTAATTTTTTTTGTAATACAAATTTTGTTTTAATATAACAAAATAAGTTATATTATTAGTTATAACAAAATAATTGACATAATATGTATAGAATACGATACTGTAACCAAGCCAAGCAAGCAAGGACCAAGCTTTTGCCCGCGACTTTCCGTTCGCGTGAAATAGTGATTCCCTGCAGTATTTTCGTTTAAAAACTATCCTTTCCTTTCTTTCTTGATTTCCAAACTATATCTGTACCAAATTTTACAGAAATCCGTTCAGTAGTTTAGGCGTGAAGAAAAGACAGTCAGAGAAACAGAGTTACTTTAGCATTTATAATATTAGTACCTATAGATATGTATAGATAATACAAATAAAAAATCACAAAAAGGATTATTTTCCGTGCGAGAATGAATGCATCGATCATTGCTAACAACAGTAGGTGGAATCAAACAAGCTTCTGAACATATTGGAAGTTTTTTGTCCCTGTAATGGTCAAAATCGATTCCGAGAAGGCCCTATTGTATTTCAAAGTTACAAAGGTTTGTAACGTTTCGACTGTTATTTGTCTGCAAGCTTTTTAGCCGTACGTATTATTGAATTTTCTTTCGGAAGTTAATGAAACTAAAACTACAATGAACTTGGCTAGGGTCTAGGAACTCTAGGGTCTATCCAAGAGTTTTCCTACCCAGTTTCAGTGATCATTGTATCTAGGATTATTTTATCCCTATCTTGGCTTTTACAATTTTAGAATGTGTTAATATTGAGATCGTTTCGCTTCTCAGATCGTTTGATTGTGGTTATAAAAAGAGTACCTAACCATGGAGTTTCTTGCACATTCTCCTCCATAGTAATCTAGAGTTTAGAACGAGCTACTAGCTTCACTAGAAGACTGACTGACAGACTAACATTTTCATCTTTAAATCATTGATTGGCTTTTAAAAATGCTTACTTAATATTGAAATTAATGACTTGACTGTGACTTAGACTTTATGTATATTCCGAACAGTTATTTGGTATATAGGTAAGTAATAATTTTTGTACCTGCATACCGAATATCTGCACTCTATTCTAGTGTGCTATTATCATAGCCTTTTATGTGTTTTTTTTGGGGTAAATCATCGAATGGCTTGTCTCGCCCAGTGAATGGTGTCAGAGTCATACTGACTAAAAACTCCCCCGTTCCTTCTCCTCTCTCAGGCCGCGGTACCTTATTCCGCTTGACCTGCGACCCCGGCTAAGCATGATGCTACCTCTCATTCGCCAGCACCAACGAATCGTCAGCGTAACAGACTACGCTGACGCCGCTCCGGAGGTTGGAGCGTAGCACTTATCGTACCCGATGTTCCACAGGAGTGGTCCCAGGACCGATCCCTGTGGCACACCACGCAACATCCCCCGTGGATTCTACACGCCTCGGTGACCGGGGTAGATGACGGGTCTGTCCGTAAAGTAAGTCACGACTTTTTTACACGACGAAGATAGGTAGGCACCCGATGATGCCGGAGTGCCTCCAAAATGCAACGAGATGAAGGCTTTGGTAATGTCCAGAGTAAACATAAGCTTTTTTTTATCACACATAACCAAACAAAAAACTTATATTATTTAAATTTGACGATCAATTAAATAATTACATAAAATTATAAGCAGTCATAAAAATGCTTCATATTTACCATACTAATTCCAAATGAAAAACCTTTCTGAAAATTAATTTTCATGGAAATTATGAAAGCTTTGTCCGTTACGTGAATATGGTGGGTTACCATGGCAACCAATGTTGAACCACCAGGGACTTTAACCTCTTCAGTTAAAATATTTTCCTGTGTTTAACACTTTCATTCAGGGTCAATGTATTTGTAACTGCCGTTTGTTTTTAGGGGTCTCGTCTTAAACTTTTAAAACCATTAGTTAATAATACTTTTTAGAAATTTCAGTTGTTGAATATACCTGCCAACCCTAATGAGTATGTTCTGACATTATTATTATTAGTCTGTTTTACTATTATTATTTTGATTATTTTCCTTTTTATTTTTTCAATTGTTTTTCTCTTTTTTTAACCTTCTTACTGTTTTTTTTATGTAATTTTTTAGTCCTTGACTTTCATTCTTTCTTTAAATTTTTTTTGTTGAATTTATACTTTATACCCTTGTTCACATTCTGACTAGTTAGAGGTTAACGTCGCGAAGAGCCATGGCGCAACAAAAACAGGTCAGATCGACCATAGTGATAGACATCATCCTTAAAGAAAACCCGACGTAAACTACATGACAACCACACTACGTTTTTCTTCTGTGTCGTGGATGCATTTACAAACATACCAATTTACATACACCAATCACCCAGAAAAGAAACAATAATTGGTGGATCAGTTTAGTTGGAATAAATGATTTTGATGTTGACTTTATATTATACTAGCTACTCCCGCGCGGTTTCACCCACTGCTCGGCTTCATTTGGTTGTAACGTGCTGTTTTATAGCCTATATCACTCGGGAACTTGAACTATCAATAATTGAAAGAATTTTGGGAATCCGACCAGTGGTTCCAAAGATTACCCCCTACATAAAAATTTCAAATAGGTACCTCTTTATAAAATAAGTAGGTATAGATGAACCTATAGCTACGGAACCGTTCTAAAATAAATACCGTGCTCTGTAACCGTCAAAAAGATTAGAAAATAAAACACTTTTACTTTACTGGTTAGGATCCGGTGATAAATGAACACATGCTAGAAATAAAGTCAAGTTTATCAATACCTAGACCTAGGTCCTTACTTAGTACTTAGTGTTACCTAACTCAGATAACATTGAACTAGACACGCTAAGTATTAGTTACGTAGACTTTGATAATAATGAAGAATTATATAGTAAATTGTTGTTTTTATCGATGTGTTGGCTCAGAGGTTAAGACTTCTCGTGCATGAACGTGCGGTTTCAAAGTTCGGCAAGAACAATCTTTCTTCAAGTTATGTGTAATTTCTAGTCTTTTTTCAAGTTATGTGTAATTTCTAAAAAGATTATTTGGGGACTGCACGGCTGGCGCAGTGGCTAGGCAACTGACTGCCACGCAATGTGTTGCGGGTTCGATTTCCACACGGAACAAATATTTGTGTGATTCACAAATTGTTATTCTGGGTCTGGGTGTGGTGTGTATGTGAGATTTGGAGATTATGTTTGTAAACGCACCCACGACACAGGATAATATCCTACTATGACTCCACTGACATACGGTGAAGGTGAATACATCGTGATGTGATAATTCCTAATTATTATATTGAAATCGCTAATACGTCTCGAGCAAGGGTGGTGATTAATTCCTAAACCTTTTTCTCCGTGTGAGAAGGCCTTTGCTCAGCAATGGGCCCTTACAGGATGATGATGATGATGTTTTCAACGTTCGTCAGGGCGATTACTTTAAAACATTAGCCATTTATTTTTTATGATTTTCCCTTGACAAAAAAACTTTTGGCGCCGATTGCTTACCATCAGGTAATCCGTCTGCTCATTTGCCGAATTATTCCATAAAAAAAAGAAAAAAATGTTAATATTACATAACTACTTACTTACCTAATGTACACATATTGTACATA